TTCTCTTCTCTTCTCTTCTCTTCTCTTCTCTTCTCTTCTCTTCTCTTCTCTTCTCTTCTCTTCTCTTCTCTTCTCTTCTCTTCTCTTCTCTTCTCTTCTCTTCTTTAGAAGGAAGATGAATGAACTCACTTGGTACTAAAGATTAAAGTAATTTTCTAACATCTGCTGGCAAGTGATTTGTTTATTTTTCACATGGATAAATTTTGAGGTGAAACGACTTACCTGTGTCCAGCTTCTCTTTTTAGGGATATTCAGCTATAGAAAATGAATCAGAAGAAAGAACTTCAGAAGAGCTGGCAAGGATAGACGAGAAAAATGAAGTGAACTTTAAGGTCAGCATCATTCATAAAGATATCCACCTAACCTGATTATTGCCTGTCCCTCTTGAGAGGGGAAAATATTACGCGTCTGCATTAAAGTTGAGAAAAATGAGAAGCTGAAAAGAAGCAGAAGTTGTATTACTCTCTGAGGTAGATTATGTTGCACAGTTAACGAATGATCACCATTTACATTTTGTATATATATATATATATGTTTTTAAAGCATGAATTGTTGAAGTCATGTAACTGAACAAGAAAAGGTAAATATAAAAACAAAGCAAGTGAGGTGGGTAATTATTTAACGTTCAACTGGTTTCTTTTTCATAGGGGACTAAATAAATGTCCTTTGCTAACAGCAATGTGTTATTTATGGATTCAGAAAGGTTTGTTCTGTATCCTGATAATGACTCCATGATGGCAATATAAAATCTAAATGGTGTTCCAGCAGCCATTTTTAATGACTTTACAGCTTTGCCTCCCTGAGCACCTGAGGTTATTTCTAGGCTGATGTTCAGCTCAGCAAGAAATTCCTGGGGAACAAACCAAAGAGCAAGGCTCTCTTTTTACCATGCTGCATATCCCATAACATTCACCTTAGCCACAGGGCTGTGTTAGCTGGGGGAGAAAAGCACTGGGGACAGAAATGCTCATTTTGAGTCCAATAGCATACACTGTTGAAATAGGCTTATGAACAATGCTTATATTACTTGTCTGTTGCAATTTAAAGTAGGTGCATTTAGATTAACAATTGTTTGTGCACTAAGTGTGCTTTTTTGTCTTTCACCTGAGTGTGGATTTGAAATGCAAAACTCTGAATGATAATGCTAATTTGGTTTCATTTATTGGAAGTAGCATGTGCATATCTGATGTTTATCTGGGATTTTATGTATAATACACATGCACAGTTGATAGAAGGACAGGATGAGAGAGATACTGGGCTCAGTAGCATGGTTTATAACTGCTTTGATGGGAAACATAGGTGGGATAATAATTACTCTTGGATTTCTTGAAAACATTTGGTGGAGACTGTTTGAAAATGGTTACTTGGAAATGTTACTGTACTGGGCAACATTGTCCTTTAGGCAGGCCTGACATGAAGAGAAACCACTTCTTTGCTGCTGTGCTGCTTTGAACTATAGAAACTTATGTCACAGGCATGAGTTTACTTTTCCTTTTGTTGGACTGAGGGCTTTAGAAAAGTGCAGTGCAGAGAACACAGACATTTTTTCCCCTGTAACAACTTAAAGTTTAGAGCTGCTGCCAACGCAGAAGGAAATACCATTAAATAGATACAAGAAAAGCCAATATTCCACGTTATTCGTGCAGACAACCAATGGTTGAAACTTGCACGAACTGCTTCCACTTAAAAGCTGTCACTCACATTGGTTATAAAAAGCCCAGAGCACTTAGGGACTGTCAATCACTTTCACGAAGAGATAGCTGACACCTTCACATTTACTTTGCCGGTATTTACCAGATGCAGAAAACCAAAGGGCAAAAATGCAAATGAAAACACATTCTCACTGATCGTGTAATACAAGGGAAACATTTGGATCAGTTGTTGCAGTTGCTCACCTAGGAGCCTCCAATCATGAGCAGATTTCTCTCTTTTGCTCTATGAATAGAACTGTTGCAGGCTGGCTCTCCGCTGTCAGAGAGAACGCTCCTGCAGGCAGTGCCTGTGGAGGTCTGCCACAGTGTCATCAGGAGAGGAAACAGATTGACTCTGGCCCATTATGATTGGAGGAGCAGTGGGAAAATATGTAGAAAGAAGAGCTAAGAAGGGCACATGAAGGGCATTCACCTTGCTGCTTTCTTTTTTTTTTTTTTTTTTCTTATGGTAATAGGGATGTGTGTGTTGTAATTACCATAGACTGACAACTTTTTCTCTTGCAAGCAGGGGATTGGCAGGGAAATGAATAGGAGGAACCAGTTAATTCAAACCCATATCCATCTTTTGCTCTTTATCTATAGGCTTCTAGATTTAGTTATCCCTGGATTGCTTAGGTATCAGTGCTGGTGCTTTGGAGGGATGGCAGCTGTAGAAAGCACAGCTCAGGAGCCTCAGCCTCCTCTTGGGACCACTGCAGGAGGTCTAGCTGCAGCAGTGAGCAAGGTGCAGAACTGCTGTGTTCATTTATCCCAGGGCCAAATGCACTGTCCTGCTGCTTTACTGCTGAGCCCTGTCTCATGCAGTATCATTTTGAGGTGCACTGTGAAGGTAAAAGTTGTATCCTTGGGGCTGCTTCTAGAAATTCAGTGAGTTCTTTCACTGCACCTGAGCACCAAGTTTGTTTGTTCAGGTTTATTCCCACAAACACGTGCACCTGAAGTGATCTGTAACTGACTAGTGACTCTTTTTCTGACCAGAATATTACCTGACACACCAACTGAGGAAATGCTGAAGAACTCTGCTTTAAGTAATCACTCACATGGGTGCCTGTTTACCAGTCCAGTCCACCAGTGAGCAACTTCGGCCATTTACTCCTCTTGGACCAGTGCATCCAGCACCTGCAGCACATCATTTGCTGGTGAGTCCAGAGGTTTTGTTCATTTTACATATCTGGACATTAACAATCATTTGGTTCAACAAGCCATCTTCCATGGAAGGCTCCTCAAATAAGTGATGTATTGCCATTCGGAATTGAATTTGGCCAGTTTGGCCCCAGGTTAAACCCCCTAGATGAGGTTTTTGGAGATGTAGTGTATGTGTAGATACTTGTGCATAAATTCATAGAATAACAGAATCATTTTCCCAGTCAGTGAAAACACAGTCCATGCAATTGATGGAATTGAGTTTTTTAATTTACCTTGGAGTAGATACCTCTCAGATATCAACTGAGTAGTTCTATATGCTTTACATACAGGGAATTACCATAGTTACTGTAGTAGTAGGACTGTCTGATATGGTATATGTATACTTCAACCTTTCTGGCATCTTTAGCTTCAGTACAGGCTGTCTTACACTGCTCTGGAGGTCGCCTCAGTTAAGTAGACCAAGTATTTAGCAGTAATTTCTGATCTGTGTGTGTATGTTTTTATCAGATTTGTATATTATCCAGTGGTTTGAAGAACAACAATTTAGATTATGGTTATGAATAAACTAATTACATGTTAGTCAGGAATATCTTGCTGCTGAGTGGGTATAAATGCATGCATGCACCTGTGCTTAAGGAAGCTGTTAAATGCCACAAGCAGATTACAGAGGAGTTGGGGTAGTACAGTGAGATCAAAGGATAGATACCAAGGATACTTACCAAAGAAAAAGCATTCTCTTACTGTTTCTTCCATGCTGCATCTCTTTTTATAAATGGGCCCGGACTGTATTTTCTAGTTTATTTTCACATTAGGAAGTTCTTCCTTCCCTTAGGGAGACTCTTTGTGTTCCTCTCAAGGGTAAATAAAGAATGCTTCTCACCATGATAAATCTAGAGAAAGGAGAAGAAAACAAAATGTCCCTGTATTCATCTTGAATAGCTGATGGATGGTTACTTCAATTCTCTGCTCAGATTTTAGGGCCAAAAAATTGAAAGGTCATGATTAGTTTGGATCAGAGGTTGCGGCTAAGAGAAAAAGTTCGACAGTTTAATTTGAGAAAATGTGAACGTACATTGAGTAGTTTCCTAATAGAGGTATCTACTAGTATGATAATGGTAGCAGTCTCCTGTGGTCCACAGGTGATTGTTAAATAAAATGGAGATCTCTCTCTTTCTCTCTCTCTCTTTTTTTCTTTTTTTTTTTTCTTTTTTACCTTCTCAAAACACCAGGAAGGTGATGCACGAAGAATGCAGTGCCAAAGAGAGCTGCTGACAATAGTATCTTCTCCTCTCCATGCTTAGGTCCACATCTCAGGGCTCTTTGCTATACTACAGTTAAGATACACTGCTCAGAGAGTCAGGAAAACAGGTCGCAAACTCCTGCGTGCACTGATTATATTCTTTTGTTCCCTTCCAACAATACAGAAAACTAGCAAGTCCTTAAAGTTGGAACTTAGAGCTCTATCGGACAAAAAGATGGTTACACCTGGGAGAGTCTGTGGCTTACGTACCTCCAGCCTGGTGCGTAGACATGGCAACAGTAATTCCCTGGAGTGTTGATTTCTCCTCTGCAGATCCTGAGCTGGAGTCCTGCAGTTGCGCAAATTACTCTTAATGGTTGAGTGCCAGTGTTTAGTATGGGAGATCTTGTGAAGGTTCTTCAGAACTAAATAAATTTAATACCCTCATTCATGTCAGAGAATTTAAGGGTTAACTTATGTGCCTTGATTTTTTTACAAGTCTAGTCTTAGGCGGTTTGAGAAGGCCTAACAAAATCAAATTGCGTCATCTCCAGTCTGTTCAGCTTAAAGTAAATTTCAGATTGTGTCCTTGATTCCTTTAGAGAAGTGATTTATTCTAAATTATGGAACAACTTCCCTATTTTCATCAAATGATCATAACTAAATTACAAGAGGAACTCCACCAAAAAGCAAAGAGGAGCTGACCTAGAATATTGACTTCATTCTGGGGAAACCTCCAGCTAGCAATGGCAGCATGTACTTGACACTGCTTCTATCTCTGAACAACATGCAAGCTATCAGACATGATATTAAAGACAGTTAAATGACATGTGAAGTTGTCATTGTGATCTGATATTTCTTGAGGCATAACAGACTTGTTAGAAGGCCTTTTTAATTCGAGCAGCTGTGAGGCCACCACATTGTGGCCTTCCAATATTTGAAGGGAGCATATAAACAGGAGGGGGAATGGCTGTTTACAAGGGTGGATAGTGATAGGACAAGGGGGAATGGTTTCCCTGAGACAGGGGAGCTTTAGGTTAGATATTACGAGGGAGTTTTTCACTCAGAGAGTGGTGAGGCACTGGAACAGGTTGCCCAAGGAGGCTGTGGATGCCCCATCCCTGGAGGCATTCAAGGCCAGGCTGGATGTGGCTCTGGGCAGCCTGGTCTGCTGGTTGGTGACCCTGCACACAGCAGGGGGTTGAAACTCGATGATCATTGTGGTCCTTTTCAACCCAGGCCATTCTGTGATTCTATGATTTTGTCAGCTATAAGCAGTGCTCATGACATTTTGGGAAAATTTATTACAATTATTGTATGTAGGTATTGAAAAGGGATTAACTTTTCCAACTTACTGCAAAAATTTGATTTTGGCCTAAAAAGATGAATGGATTGGAATTCTAAAATGCATGGAAAAACTGGGCACAGGGTGAATGCAGGCACTCCTTTTGCAAATTACAAGTGTCTTCTTCAGCTGTTGCATTAGGGCAGAGTATTACTAATGCCACACATTGGTGAGTCAGGTCCTGAAATGTCTTATTTTCATTTGTATTTTGATGCATTTCTGTGACACTCTTCCCTTATTATTATTATTATTATTATTTTTATAAATCTCTGGGCTTTACTCTTTCTAGTTTTCTCCAATTCAGGAAAGCTAATATATGTATTTTCTTTAGCAAATTGATATAAAATTAAATGACTTCATAAAAAGGGTCCTCAAGACAAACATCAAATACTACGAGATTCACAGTGAAGTCTTAGGATTCTTCAGCATAAAAGGAGAGGTATTTGCAAAAGGCTCCCCAGAGAGTGATGTGTGAAGGGAGTGGAGCCTCTGGAGGACCACCAGAATAGTTAGGTCAAGCCTCTCCTCTGGATCACCTTGCTCGCCATCAGAGCTGCTTCCTCTACCATCTATAGAAAAATCTGTGATCTCACTAGGCTGAGGTTAGCTTTTGTGAGTAGCTCTTTCAGTGCCACATGAAGAGAGGCTTTTAATGTAAGGAGCTGCACTTCTAATCCCACGTAAGTGCCAATTTCCAAAGACACGGCGGCTGTAACTCTGTCCTGAATTAGACGCAGTGAGCTGGCCTGCTAGAGAGGTAGTGTTTGTGTGTGCATATATCAGTACTGAGTGGCTACTGCTGGATACCGCCTTGGATTTGGGGGTTGGTTGGTAAACAGCTTTGTGACAGCCCGTTTGATATTCTGTGACGCTAATAGCTTGAAAGAGCACTCGGTAGGTAGAGAACCGCTGTGCGAAATTAGTCAGGCACCAATCTGCTCACAGCACTGTGCTCATAGTGGGCTGCAAACTTGAGCCAGACGGTTTGCGAGCTCTCCTGTAGGCATCCAGACAAGCCTGTTCCGAGATGACATTTGCTTCTCCACAGATATGTCACGGATCATTTTTCACAGCCCTGTTGAAGTGGTTTATTTATTATCATCTGTTCTGGTGTTACATCCTGGACATGGGAGAACTGTTTACTGTATCACGGTGCCAGGAATTCCTTGTTACTGTGCAATCTGACTCCAGGCTAGTGCAAAGGATGAGGCCAGTGCTTTCCTCAAGGCTGACTCTGCTGAAGTTGGAAATGACGAGGCGGATCTGAGGTGTTACAGCAGAAGTTGGCTGTTTGGTACGTAAGTGACCTCTAAGTGAAGAGCTACCACATTCATCACTATTCCACTTGCCCTAGCTGTAGACCTCAAATCCAAAATTGAAGTCATCGGAACAAATTGGTCTTGGATTTCAGCAACCCTGTTGTTAGCCCACACTTTGCAAGAGCAGTGATTCTCAGCTGTCCTCTGCAGGTCCTGTGAAGCTGTGCTGCCTTAAAAGGTTAACGTTATAAGGCATTGGGGTACACCACTGTGAATTCAGAAAGCTGACAGTGATCCATGAACAAAATGGTAGGGAATTACTGCCACTGCTGCTCCAGAGCATGAAGTTTCCAGTGTTACTACGTTAATCTATTTCAGGAATGGCAGCAGAAGCCGGATGCTGTGTTTTTACTGAATCATTTTTACAGTTGTATCTCTTTACTCTGTATCAAAACAACTTTCACAGTGAGTGAATGTTGTGAAACCACATTTTCAGGAGAGTCACTCACCTTTTCTGAGTCTGTTCTTCTGATTGGATTTGTGTTGCTATGCTAGAATAATATTTCCCCAGATCTGTATCAGTATGTATGATCAATTAAATTAATGGCTAAAATCTGTCATCCAAGATGACTCTCTGTTGCTATTAGGAGGGAATCAGATCGATTTTCGTTGGAACCAGGCTAGTGCAAAATGTCAATTATCACGGGGAAAGCATCCTGCTGTATATGCTGCAGAAAATGAAGCTGAGTCCACTTATGATCAGTGTATATAGCTTTTAAAGTGCCCCAGCGTACTTCTGTTTCTAATTGTTTTTGTTATCTGTACCAGAGTAGCACTGGGAAGCTCCAAACTGTGGCGTGGCCCCATTGTGTCTTGCACAAACACTCGCTTCCAATTGAAAGAATCTGATTGAAACAGGAGATAAAAGCAGTCTTTTCTCCAGTCTTACTGGAGGTAGGAGGTAGGACAGATGGATCGCCTGACATTGCATAGAGGGGAACTAATGCTTCTAGTGCTGACAGTTGCAGCCATTTCACCTTTCTGCTTCCCCTTCTGGGCCCAATATCACCCAGTTTAGGAATGGGCAACAGCAGAGGCTTTCCTGGCAGAGCAATCAGTGGTGGGGTAAGAGCAAGAATTCCTTTAGCA